AACTCAAGCCTCACCAAGAGATAAACGTGAGCAGGGGAAGGGCAGAGACCTACCCACAACTCTCTCTGTCCCATACTGCGCCACGGAGTCCTCCTGGTAAGCCGCGACCCTTTGGCCGTCCCTCTGCAAGGGCAAGCTTTGATTTGTCCTTGGACACCAGGCAGACTTGGCAGTGACGGGCCATCCACACGGGACAGAGTGCTCCCACCTCGGCCCCAGGGGACGGCCCCTGCTCGCCGCTGCCTCTCCCTGTCCTCTCCAACCTCTGATGCACATCAGAATCCACCCCTCATCCCTGGGAGCCCCATCTAGGCACTTGTGCCGGGAAGGGAATGTTTCCAAAACCAGCTGAGGTTGGCAGCCCCTGTTGTGTCCGGCCTTCCGGATCCCTGCCACCTGCCGCCTCTCACCTCCTTAACTCTCTTTCTGGGCTGGTACCTCTAGCACCTGTTCCCAGAGGCTTGCTCCTGGCCCTCCAGGCTTGTCTTTATATATTAGCTGCAGCAGAGTTTTGGGGCGGGCAGATATCACCATCTTGGAGGCCATCCAAGGAGCTGGTGGCTGAAGCCCTGGGCAAAACCCCCAAGGACAGGCAGCACCATACCGGGCCTGGGCCAAGATGCCTCTGATGCAACCCACAGGCTCTTAAAGGGCCAGGGCCAGGTCCGTGCCTGGTGCCTGGTGTGCAAGCGCCTGTAACGTGCCCCACAAGGACAGCAGGCTCACGTTCCCCACGGCAGCTCTGGGGCCTCAGCTGGATGCAGCATCCTTGCCAGCAGATGGGGCAGCTGAAGGAAAACACCCCACAGACTACACAAACGAAGCCGACCCGACAGAAATTCCATCCTCGGCTTCCTGGGACGCGGCCATGCCAAGGTCGAGACCGGCTGTACCTGCGGGGACACTGAATCCTCGGAGGCTCACGTGGCTGCTTATCACCATCTCCCTTATAATATATTAAGGAAGAGCAAGAGAGACGGGTGCCTGGCGATGCCAGCTGGGCACATTCACCGGGCAGGGACAGACAGGGTGGCACAGGGTACACAGGGAAAGAGACGCACCTGCGTAGAGCCTGGCTCAGGTCTCAGAGGTCCCCTATTGTCGGGGCAGGTTGGGGACATATAACACCGGGGCACAGATCCGCAGCCTGCCCTGTCCAACGCTTCCCAGTACAGACAGTGCGTGGGCTCTGAAATAACCACTAGGCCCCTAAATGCTGCAGGGAATGCCAAGTGCCCTTCACTCGACCCAGGAGGGCTGGGAAGGTGAGGCAGTAGCCAGAGATCCTTATCACCCAGGCAGGAGAGTCCTGTGTCACAGGCGACCTGGCGGACAGGGTCCCGGGAGGGCCACGGGTGCTGTCAGAGTCAGAATCCCTGCTCTGCCACTTCCTGGCTGGGTGACCTTGGGCAGGTGACTTCACCGAGGCTGTTTCCTCATCTCTAAGACGTGAGCCTGAGTAATCCCTGTCCCACGGGGATGTTTATAGACTCCTCCTGCACATCTATCTAATCAAGTGCTCCATTCGGAGGAGTCACTGAGATAATGCACGTCAAGTCCTGTGCATGGGGCAGAGGCACGACCCACGTTATTGGTTCGAGATCCTGGCCCCTGGATGGTTACAGATGCAGCCCTCGCCATCCACTGGGCTCCTCCTGCTCAGTCCCAAGGGTGAGGGCACTCTGCGGGGCCCCCTCCCCGCTCCCCCCCCCCCGCCCGCCCCCAGCCTCACTGCTTCTCTCTGTCCCTGTGGGAAGCTGGAGAGAATTTGTCCTGTTGCCATATAAGGCCAGGCCTGGCTGGCCCGGGGTCACCTGCCATGCCACCAAGGCTCAGGGAATGTCAGCTATGTGGGGGGGAGTAGGAGGCGCACGCAGGTCCTGCCCGCTTCAGTAGTGCCGAGAACGCCCACACGCCCTTGCACGCGCACGCACACGCAGGGCAGACAGGCTGGCTTCAGGCAATTTACTCAGCCCCTCTGAGTCTTGTTTTCCGTAAAATGGGAATAGATACTCACAAGATGAGAGTGAGCGTTCCATGCGATAATGCCCAGAGCACTCCTGGCACGCTGCCCGGCTCATGCCAAGGGCTCAGAAAATGATCACAAAAACTAGAGTGAAACCAAAAAAAGTGCATTTCCATGCAGCCCCCCAGGACCCTCCAGGTCCACCCAAGTCTCCTTCTACTTTTGCTCCTGACCCTTATAACAACAATAGCTGAGACTGAGCTGCCCTGCTATCCTCGGGAAGCTGGCCTGGCCCTGGGGTGGGGGGGAAGGCCCCAGAGGGAACTGGGGTGTTGGCCCGGAGAAGCCCCCAAGCACATGCAGCCCAGTGAGTCATGACGCCCCATCCTCCAGGCACTCCTGCTTCCGCAGGGCCACCGGGAAACTGCTCCATCCGGCCCCCCCCAGAAGCCCTGCTCCAGTGGAGGCAGTGAAGCTGCTCCCCAAAGAAAGGCAGTCTTTTCTGGGCTTCTGGGCTGACAACATGGTTCCCTCTAGAATCCGCTCACCCCGGGGAACTTTTGCTGTGGTCACGGTCATGGGTGAAGCGGACTCAGACCCTCAAACAGAGCGACTCCCTCAGTCTGCAAAGAGCTCCTGTCTGCTCATCTCCACTGATTGTCGCAGGGACAGAGCAGGGATCACTGCTCCCATTTCAGGCTGGGAAGACTCAGCTTCTGCCGCATGGAAGGGTGCAGCCCATGGCTTGTCTCAGACCTTGCCCCTGGGATTCCACTCCCTGCGTCTTCAAGCACCAAACAAACTGATGACACAATCATGACAGCTCTGTGTCTTACACAGATTATCTCCCTGAAAAATCACCGCAACCAAACTACCATTATCTCAGGTGGCGTGCCCAAGGTCATAGAGCCAGCGAGCGCTCTGCCCACCCCTTCATCCCCACTCAGGACTCCACACTATGGGGGGGGGGGGCTTGACCTCCTGGGGGTGAGGGAGCAGCTTAAACTTCTGGTTTGATCCTGGAGTCCCCTTCCTCTGGTTTGGTCCAGCAGCCGGACAACAGCCTGGGTTCGCATGGGGGTGGGGGCTCAGAAAAGCTTCTGGGCAGGGAAAGGACACTAGACCGCAAACTCTATCACAGGCTTCTGTGTGGCCTTAGCCAGCTGCCTGCCCTCTCTGGGCTTTGGGGTCCCCATGGCCCCCTCTTGCTCACTTTCTCCAGTCCCAGCACTGTTCAGATCAGCCCCTGAGAGCCACAGCCCCACCTCCTTCCGAGCCAAGCCAGTCCACCTCCCAAACCAACCGGTAGCCTACCGCACGCCCCTGCCCTGGCTTGCCCCCCACCAAGGGCAGGACTGGCACGGAAGTCCCACACATTCTCAGCAACTGTGGTTTGTCTGACCGTAGAGCCCTCTCCCTCATCTCCAGCTGTCTCTGGCTCAGGGTCCTGCTGGCTGTGGGTGGATTCAGCCAGCTCGGAACCCGCCCTGTCGAGTGGCCCAGGGGGCTGTATGAGGTCAGGGTTTCAGGCTTCTGTCCAGGTGGCAGGAGCAGCCAAGACCAAGGGCGGGCTGGCTGCAGAGTAAACTGGGAGGGAGCCCAGCAACCTGGACCCCTGAGAGCCCCAGCCGCACGTCCAGTCTCCCTTTCAGCTGTGTTCAAGACAGCCCCAAGAGGCAGGGTGATGATGGTACAGAAGGGACTAGAGTTGACTTGGGAGGGACCCTGGGGCCCCAGAGCCTTGCTTGGGATTCCTGCAGCCAGCGGGATGAAATCATATAGGCTGCCTCCCCCCAGACACTCCAAAAAAAAAAAAAAAATCAAGGAGGGAATCAAGACTGCAAGCCCAGGCGAGAAGAAATACTACAAAATAGGACAGCCGTGCCACAGCCCCCAGACCCACCTCCGTGCAGCCTTGACCCGGGCCCTGCTGACCATCACCAGCTTCCCATTTGGGGACTCTAAGCTGGGCTTGGACCTTGGGTGCCCTGCAGCTGAGGGAGCCAGCAGGGGGAAATGCCCAGCCTTGTTTCAGTGGACATGCCTCTGCGGCCTGTGAGGCGGGGATCTGGGAGACGTCGACCTTAGGAAAGAATCCTCTCACGGTCCACAGAAGTCATCCCTCCTGCCAGGTACTGAACCATGCACACTACATGCCTTCCCTTGGTGAGTCCTCATGGTGACCCCAACTTCGTTCTGAGATTGGGGTACCAGATGGAGGCCAGGCCTGAGTACAGATCTCACAGAATCCCAAAGCTCCGCCTGTGCTGCCTTTGAGCTTTGGCCAATCCAGGCAGACCCTGACACTTCTCCTTATCTTCTAGAATTTAGGTGGTCATTAAGCAAATGTTTACGAAGCTCCCTTTGTGTGCCTGGCAACAGCAGATTTCTATAAAGAAATTCACAAGGTCCAACAAGAAAAGCATCAAGTATCTCAGAGAACCTTTCCTAAAAGCTGGAGTGAGAAAGAGTTATGGGGTGGGGTGGGGGTGAGGCCTTGCATTTTCTGTGGAGGAGGGAGCACCGGCCTGCAGTCTGGACCCCGGGTTCTAAAGGCAGCCCCACCTGGACTTGCCGGGCCATCTCGGGGCAGCCACCGAGCCTCTCTGGGCCTCCATTCCCTCCCGCGGCTGTACTACCGGGGACTGCTCAGAGACATCGGGGGTCCCCCTCCTCCCTGGGCCCAATCCTTGCCGCTGGTCCCAGGCGGGCTTCCGGGGAGGCCCGGCCGGGCGGCATCAAAGCTCCCGGGCGAGCCCCACCTCCCCAGTCTAAGAGTAACAACTTGCAACCCGAGACGCGGGAGCCGAGTTGGGCGGAGGGGGTGGAGGCGGTGGAGGCGGTGGAGGGGGACCCACCTGGAGTCGGGGGCTCGGGGGCAGGGGCCAAGGGAGGAACTTGGGGGAAGCCCAGAGAAAGAAGAGAAGGGGGTTGATGTTGCGGCAGGCACAGCCTCGCAGACGGAGGTGGGACCTGAGGGGCGCTGGGATATCTGGGGGCGACTCGCAAGCCGCCCCGGGCGGCGCGCGCTTACCCGGTTGATCTCGGCCAGCCTCCTGTCCTGCCGGGCTTTGAGCAAGCCGAACGCCTTCCCTCCTGCAGGAGACAAAGAGGCGGCCCGGGAAGCGGGGGCCGGGGCGGGGGGGTCTCCCGGGGCCGCGCGCCGCCGACCCCGCCGTCCGCCCCGCGCGCGCAGGTGGCGGGCGGGGGACTCCGCGCCGGGGGATGGGGGGGAGGAGGGCGGGGCAGGGGCGCGGGACAGCGCGGGGACGGCGGCGCCTACCTTGGAACCTGTTGCTGAGCGCGACCGACATGGTGAGCACCGGGCTCCCGCCGGCTCGGGGCTTGGCGGTCGCGGCGAGGCACGACGAGGAGGGACAGGCGCCCGGTCCGAACTCCGGCGGCGTGTGGCGGCGGGACGGAGGGGCGGAGGGATGGCGCGGGCGGCCGGACACACCCCTCCCCCCCCCCCCCCCCCCGCCCCGGGCCCTCCCGCCCGGCCGTCGGCATCAAAGCGCCTATTATGCGGGACGCCGCGCCCGCCGCCCGCCCCTCTGCTGGAGGGCGCGGAAAATGCACGGCGCGGGGCCACCCGGGACCTCCCCAGGCCCCTTACCCGCCCGGGGCCGCGGTGTCCCTAAAAAGAAAGTGGGGACGATCTCAGGACGCACTTGGGGTGGCCTTAAGGAAGAAATACGGTCCCGGCGGCAGCGAGCGAGCGCTCCACCAGCCGAAGCTGTTCGTTCCCGTGGCCCTTGGCGCCGCACGCACTTTGGAAGGCAGGCCAGTCTCCCCAACACTTACTTTTAACTCTTGAAAGAAAAATATGAAAACTTTCAGGGTTGTTTTTTTTTTTTTTGG